TTATATTTCTCGTTTTTTGGCATTTCAATAAGAAAAATACCAAAATAACCTATAGAACGAGCTTTACAAATATTCAATAAAAACGCTAAATTAACAACACTGCTACTAAACGATAAGTTTCTCAGTTATTGGTAAACCCAACAAAAAGCCGTTTTTAGATCCATAGTTACTTTTTAGGATCTTCATAGAATTACTTTCTGGGTCGATTTATGCATGTCAGTCCGTCCATCCGTCTATCCATGTATCTTGTGAACAAAACGCAGGTCGCATTTATTATCCGATTGAGATGAAATTTTCCAAACAATATTTGTTTGGTCCAAGGACGAACCCTATTGAAATTGGTGGGAATCGGATCAAATTTAAATATAGCTCCCATAGATATCTTCAACCGATTTCGGGTTAATTGTGCACCAAATGGCCAATATCAGTCCAAATGACCTGAATTTTGGAACATCCAACCGAATTCAGTTTAGAAGCAAGAACATCAAATTTAGTGGAAATCGGTTCAGATATATCTATAGCTCCCATATCCGGATTTGGTGTTTAAGTCCCTCACATTCGTAATATGCATTCGACAACAATGATATTTTCTACCAGATATCAGATACAGCCCAGAAATACCTCTGTCAAATTTCATCAAGACCGGCTCAGATTTGGATATAGCTCCCATGTATATCTTCAACCGATTTCGGGTAAATTGTGCACTAAATGGCTAATATCAGTCCAAATCACCTAAATTTTGGAACATCCAACCGAATTCAGTTCAGAAGCAAGTACATCAAATTTGGTGGAAATCGGTTCAGATATAGCTATTGCTCCCATATATATGTTTCATCCGATTTGGTGTTATGCATCGTAATATGCGTAATATGCATTCAACAACAATGATATTTGCTATCAGACATCAGATACAGCCCAGAAATACCTCTGCAAAATTTCATCAAGACCGGTTCAGATTTTGCTATAGCTCCCATATATGTCTTGAACCGACTTCGATTTAATTCTCTACCAAATGTCCAATATAAGTCCAAATGGCCTGAATTTTGGCACATTCCACCGAATTCAGTCTAGAAGCAAGTACATCAAATTTGGTGAAAATCAGTTCAGATGTAGCAATAGGTCCCATATATACTTTTCATCCGATTTGGTGTTTAAGCTCCTCACATTCGTTATATGCATTCGACATATGAAGGGCTCACAGCTATACCGAACTAAGTCATAAAAACATAATTCGAAGATATTTAGAGGTAAAGTAAATGCACTGCTATTAATTTCTGGAAGGAATATTTTAGTCTACCAAAAGAAAATGTAAAAGTCTATATTCAAAATTAACTAATGATATCAATTTAAAATAAAAATTATTTAAATATATTACTAAAAAAATCTTCAAAAACAAAAAAATCTACTCTGGTTCATTATTACTCTGAATAAAACTTGAAGGTTTCACAGCTAAAGAGAACCAAGTCAAAAAATAAAATAAAGTGTTCGTTATATGACTAAATATAGTTGATTTTAGCGATTAATTTCCCACTAGTTTCGGAGTTTTATTTTGAGTCATGTCTTGGTTTAGCGGCTGGCAGCTGCGAGTGCTTCTGTTGTAATTGAGAACCATTGTAATTTTTAGGAAAATAAAAATAATATAATTTTTTCTTCATTTTGTTACCAGAATTTCAAATAAATAAGCTCTTGAAAATGTTGGAAAAAAGCAAAAAATGAAATAAAATCTTATTTTAATTTTAAAATAATCCGACCAAAAAAGCCCGATAAAAAACAGAATTAACCAAAATTAATTTTAAAAAAAAAATAAATTAATGTTAAAATTTAATGTTTATACTATGGTAGAAATAAGAATGTAAAGTCATGCAATTATATGTTTACATGTTTATACCCTCCACTAAAGTATGGAGAGTAAGTTTGTCATTCTGTTTGTATCACCTCGAAATATTCTTAATCAGTATAACATTCTATGTCGATTTAACAATATCAATCCGTCTGTCCGTCTGTGGAAATCACTCTAGCTTCCGAACGAAATGAAGTAAGTTGATAAAAATTTACTCAAATGTGTATTATGTCTGCAGGACTTTTGGTATTCAAACGGGGTCACGTCCTCGTATAGCCTCCATATAACGGTACCTTCGATATTCGGTGTTTTTAGTGATGTTACTTATCGGAACTATTTCAAATTTAGTATTTGAAGTTCATAATGAATATTATGTGCAGGTCCACGTCTTCGTATAGACCCTAATATGCGGCTACATTCGGTATTTTTAAGATTTTAACTGAATTTTTAATGGATTTTAATTTTTTGATAATTGCCAAATTTGTACCAAATGGTGGAGGGTATTCAAAGTTCGGCCCGAACTTACAGCTTTTTTACTTGTTTTTTTTTTTTCAAAGTTATGCATTTGACAACATCTCGTTGTCAAAATGTATACTTATAAATCCATTGTACATACAAATCAGAGATAAGAACCTGCTATCTATGCAGGGAATTTGACAGAGTAAATTACACAAAATGCAGAGATGGATATGCTTATTTGAAATTACTTTACCTTCTTAATTTTACCATGGTTTCAACAAATATTTACACATAAAAAATTCGTTATTTCCGTCTTCATCATTTTTGGGGCTGGCAAATATTCCTCATTTTCATAACAGGAAAAATCACTAGTACTGCTATAATTACTATCCATTTATAGAAAACACTGATGTTTTTTTAATATTGCTGTAAACTGAAACACTAATAGTACTGATTCAAAGTGAAACACACTGACTTGGTTCATGTTTGCTTTGAAAAAATTCGAAAATGACAGTCGTTGACTTAGGTTTTTTACCGTTATCTTTGGAAAGAAACACTTTTTGACATTGTGCTTTACAGAGTAAACAGAGTTTCCATATATGGGGACATTGGCACTAATTTCGGCATTTTTTATTTTTCATGACTTGGTTCGGTATAGCAGTGAGCCCTCCATATGATATTTGGTACTAGATATCTTATAGAGCTCGGAAATACCTTTGAAAAATTTTATCGAGATCGGCTAAGATTTGGATATAACTCACATATATGTGCTTAATCCGATGTCAGGTTTATTGTGCAAATAATGGCTAATATCAGCCTAAATACAGAGAATTTCGGACATAGGTTTCCATTTTGTGAAACTCGGCTCCGATATATATTTTTGCAATCATGCAATCTATAGCAATGTTGCAAAGATTAAAATGTCTCCGTCAAATTTAGTGAAAATCGATTCAGAATTGGATCTGCCCCCCATATATTATATAACTGCTCTAAAGCCAAATGTTGATAGGTGATATGATCTACTTCAAATAATTTCTTTTGTTACGGGAGCTCTACAACTATACATAGTGGCGTAGGGTATCATATAGTCGGCCCCGCCCAACTTTTTACTTTTCCTTACGGGATTACATTTTTTACATTTGACTCAACCTGAGGAAATTTGATAACCTCGTAAATATTCTTCGCCACAATGGATTTTTAAGTTTGGTACGCTTTTATTTAAGGTAGCATTGATGGTTACTGTTATTGGTGTTATCAATGCTGTGACACTATGATTCTTCAATTTATTTTGATAATAGCTGTTATTTTATCATTAGAAGAGTAATAACAAAAAACTCTCTCTTTTGAAATTATTCAAATGTTTAGGATTTGACATAAAATGGAGAACTTTAAAAAAACTCTCGAAAATTTCCTTGGCCCCAAAGAATTTGGTTAGTGTTGGGTACGCTTTTATTTAAGGTAGTAGTTTATAGTTATTAAGTTTATAGTTACTAAGACTAAACACTATGATTACTCCATTTGTTTTGAGGATAACTGTTATTATTTGCATTAGGAGGGAGAGAAATAAAAAAAAACATCGCGCTCTCTTCATATTTTTTACTTCCTCTGCTCATTATTCAATTATTCTTTGAAAAACTATCGCAATTTTTCCTGGCCACAAAGAATTTTGTTAGTGTTGGGTACGCTTTTATTTAAGGTAGTTCTGTGTTATCAATTTATAGTTATAAAGAGCAGACACTAGGATTTCTCCATTTGTTTTGATGATAACTGTTACTATTTGCATTGGGAGATAGGGAGAGCAATAAAATGACAACACTCTCTTTGTATTTTCTACTTCCTCTTCTTCATCATTCAAAGTGATCGGTTTCTCTGTCATGTGTAACAATGTTGTCAAGTTTGCGATTTTAATGCCAATATGTCTATAGTGTCCATAAGTCGTGTTGATCTATCAATGTTGTTAATTATGCGATTTTTTGTAATAACTAACGTTTTAAGTATTTTTTGCTACACATTCCTCTTATGACGATACTGTTATAATTTGCATTAGGAGAGAGAGAAATAAAAAAGTATGTATAACAATGTTGTCAATTTTGCGATTTTAATGCCAATATATCTCTATTGTCCATAAGTCACATTGATCTATCAATGTTGTCAATAATTCGATTTTTGGTAAAAAAAAACTAACGTTTTAATTATTTTTTGCTGCACATTTCTCTTATTTGTAAGTGTTATTCACACATTGTAATAATGTTGCCGCATCAAATGTTCGTGCCGGAAAACCAGAAACATACATACAAACAAAAAACTGTGAGGGGGTGAAATTGAGGTCTTATGGCACGCACAACATTTCCTATGCACAAAACAAAAATCGTCATGTAACCAAGAGAAAAATGTGATAAAAGAAAATGTAATAATGTTGCAAATAAACGGCGGCAGCAAATTTCGCATACATTACAAATGTTTTACAATGAATTGAATTTGGCCACCAACCTCCTTTCCCAATGGCGCCTATATTTAAAAGTATGACATCATGTGAATTGATAAATAAAAACAGAAACAAAAAATCAGAATTAAATTTTTTGTTTGTTTCATTTTTTTTTTCAATTTTGAACACTTTCAACACTTTTGAAGTTTTCAAAAAAAAAAAAAAAAATCTTTTTTTAAAAAATTAATTTTCTTTTATTTTTTCTTCTCATTCCAGCATTTATAATTAATCATCACAACTGAAATAGTTTAAGTTTTAGTTATTTCCCTTGTATTCAAACTAAAGTGAATACTCAAAATCTCCACTGCAAATTTTTGGTAAGTTGTTGCTTTATTTTTCTTTTATATGTTTAATTATATTTAAACGATATTTAATCCATACTATTTGATTTTGATTGATATTAGAAGGCGCGTTTCTTGTTTTTCCTCAAAATTGATGACAGTATTATGCAGCGATTATGATTGATGATAATGCAGAATTTTTTTTTTCGAATGGAAATTAATTGGGTTAATGTTTGAAGTGTTATTGATGTGTTCTGTGCGTAAAGAATGGAAATGATGAGTAATACTGGGGAAATTACTCTATTCGGCAACGTTTGTTTTCGACATATTGTGATATGGTCACACAAAAGTGACTGCAATAAGTAATAAACTGCAAAAAGTAATAAATCACAATAGTATTATTCTTTGAATAATAAGTAATTTTAATTTAAAATTGATTTTTCAATTTTGTTAATAGTCTTTAGACATTTGGAGTTTCCATTTCTAGTGATTAATGGCAGCGAAAGGTTTCCAAAAATTAATTTATGCTTTAAAAAATACTTCTTAAGAAAGAAAATATATTTTTTTAATTTAAAAATGTCTTAAAATCTGCTTTTATTTTTTTTGACAAATCTAAATGTCCATCTCTGGCACAGAATGATAACACAAGGTTTTGGCGCTCTTTCTATGTTGGCAAGTGTTTTTGGATCAGTGATAGCGTTTGTTCTGAAGAAGAGAGAGAGAGAGAGAGAGAGAGAGAGAGAGAAAATATAACATAATTTTTCACTCTCCTCTCATGTTGATAAACCGTTATTTCCTTTTTAAATATTCTTTCACAGTTGTAATATTTTTTATTTAAGTCTTCTTCTGTTTTTAATAGCATTGATACATGCACTACGAACTGATAGCATTATATCTTGGAATCATTTTCGTCTTGTTATAATTACATTGAGAGAGAAATGCTACTTGCGAATAATAACAAGGGCTGAAATAAATTAAAATTATATTTTTCACTTCCCTCTCTGGGTCATTAACCGTTATTTCTTTCTAAACATTCTTCCAGAGTAGTGGTATTCTTTATTTGAGTGTTCTTCTTCTATTATAACATTGGTACATGTACTAGCAAATGATAACATACATTAGAACTGTTTTCGTCTATTGTTCTAACTACATTGAGAGTGAGAGAAATGCTACTTGCGAATAACAAAGAATGAAATAAATAAAAAATATATTTTTTCACTTCCCTCTCTTGGTCATTAACCGTTATTTACTTTGGAATATTCTTTCCGAGTAGTGATAGCATTCTTCATTCAAGTCTTCCTCTTTTTCAATTACATTGATACATGTAGTACGAAATGATAGCAGTATACCATTAGAACTGTTTTTCTAATTAAATTGAGGGAGAGAAATACTGTGTAGGCATAATAACAACAAAATTTTATGAAATAAGCAGCAAGGAAAAGTCAAAAGTCGGGCGGGACCGACTATATGATGCCCTACACCATGCATATGCATATTTAGTAGAGGTCCGGTAACAAAAGAATTTATTTGAAGTAGGTCATACCACCTATCAACATGTGGCTTTAAAGCAGTTATAGTTTGGTTCCAGAGGGAACTATTATATGGGAGGAATCATATCCAACTCCGAATCGATTTTCACTAAATTTGACGGAGTCATTTAAATCTTTTATACCACAAAAACATTGCTATAGAGTGCATGATATCACTTCGGGAACGATTATATTAAAAAAATGTAAATCGGTGCCTAGTTCCACCAAATGAAAACGTAAGTACCGAAATTCACCCCATTTGAGCTAATATTAGCCAATATTTGCATAAAAAAACCTGAAATCAGATTAAGGATATATATGGGAGCTATGTCCAAATCTTATCCGATCTCGATAAAATTTGGCAAATGTATTTCCGAGCTCTATAAGATATCTGGTACCAAATATCATTTTTGTCAAATGCATATTACGAATGTGAGGTACTTAAAACTCTCAATCGGATGAAACATATATATGGGAGCGTTAGCTATATCTGAACCAATTTTCACCAAATTTGATGTACTTGCTTCTAGACTGAATTTGGTCGGATGTGCCAAAATTCGGGTCATTTTTACTAATATTGGCCATTTGGTGCACAACTAAACCGAAATCTGTTGAAGATATATATGGGAGTTATGTCCAAATCTGATCCGTTTATCACCAATTTCAATAGGGTTCGTCTTTGGGTCAAACAAATATTGTTTGTAAAATTTCATCTCAATCGGATAATAAATGCGACCTGCATTTTGTTTAGAAAAATACATAAATCGCCTCAAAAAGTGATTCTATGAGAATGCTCAAAAGTAACTATGGGCTATCTCGCTTCGTTATCCGTGTTACAAACAAATGCACAAAGACATAATACCACCCTTACCACTATCTGGTGTAGGGTATAAAAACAAAGCGAGTTCGTATAAGACTTGATCCCAATCTCAATTATTATGAACGGAGCGATTAGTGTCTTTTAACTTCAAAGAAGTAATAACACATATCAGCAATAATCAGTGCTGCCAATTTTTAGAAACGGGGAAAGGCATTCGGCTGTCTTATACCAGGTTCATACTTTGCAATTTAGTTGGGTTATTTATTTATTTATTTGAATTTTTTGTATTTTTTGTTTGTTTTTTTATTATTATTTTATTTTGTTTTTTTTACATAAATATTCATTTTCAATGTGTTATAATACTAATATTTCATCTCTGCAGTAAGAGATCTTGTCTCTCACCACCGAACGTAATTAACGGTCATGTCATGTCCATGCATTCCTTTATGTAAGGATATTTGTCTCTCTTTTCTCTGAGAGCAATCACTCTCACCTATAAACGTGCTTAACGGAAATTTTTTCCAGAGAAGTAATAACACTTGACAGCAATGATCAATGCTGCCAACTTTTAGAAGCCGGAAACGTCATTCGATTGTCTTATACCAGGTTCATACGTTGCAATTTAATTGGGCAAAGAAATAGTGGATCACATTTAGAATTTAATCGAAAAAGTTGTTTTTAAATATACTCAATTAAACCTTAAATATGTGTCTATACAAGGTTATGACAATTTTTAAGGGTTGCTGACCACAACTCAATTTTTTAATTTTTTTAAATAAACTTTAGAATAAATTAAATGTTGGATGACATTTAGAATTGAATAGAAAAGTTGTTTTTAAATATGCTCAATTGTATCTTCAATGTGCCTACACAAGGTTCTGATATTTTTAAGGGTTGCTTGCCACACATCAATTTTTTGAAATACTTTTAAAAATAAACTTTGGAATAAAGCTACATTATAAAGTTAAACTTTAAGTAAAACGCATGTTTGCACCAACAGGTTAGTTTCTTACAACTTAGGGTGAATGGCCACATGTAATTTTATTTTGGAAAAATTTAAATCTACTAGTTTACACAAACATTTTCTTTCTCACAATATCTTAGGGTGGCTGGCCACATATCAATTTAGCTTAACAAAATATATGAAGCTTTTTGTTTTTTCATTGAAGATAAATTCAAAGAAACTGAAGTTGAGTTTGATATTTTTTTGTGCACTCATTGTTATCGTATGATAATGAAATTATTTAAATTAGAAAATATTTTTTTCATAAGTAAAATCTATCTAGACTTTAGTAATTTATACGCGGTTTCTTCCTTTCCATTATTCCCTTGTTTTTATGAACGAACCATACATTTCCTCTTAATTTATCACCTGTTATTTCCATGCAAACACACACAGATATCATACATCTACATATCTCAACGATCAAGTCACACTTTTTAATGTAGAACAGCGAAAAATAATGTTTTTTGTCATTAAAATAGGTGTGGTTTTTAATTTTGTTCTACATTTTTTCATAGTTCCTTCATTCCTCTCTTCTCTACGACTCTCTGTATTACTAAGCAAATAAGTTTTTTCTTAATGTTCACGTAGCGCTAGGTACTTATCATATATATATTTGCCAAAGTTAATATCTCTCAAGTACGTTTTAATTGAAATTTATATCACAATTGAGATCACCAGCCGTGTAAAACGAACAGAAATATGTTTTTTTGTTTACCGTTAAGCACTTGAGAGTAGGTAAGAGATGACAATGTGTGCGTGTGTGTGTGCCACTTGTGTTTAGACCTTTTGTGACATTAGCGTTTGAAGTAAGATTGGAATTTAGAAGTACCCCCGACTTGTTGTGTCATCATCATCATCATCATTTGTTATTAGTTTGTTTTGTATGTTGCTTTGCTGCCGTGTTCTTTAATTCAATTAATGTTGATTTCTTTTTTTTTATTTGTCGTCGACTTCTTCTCTTTCTCTCAAGCTGCTCGCTCTCACGGTAAATTGACTTCAATTACGCACATTTCACTCACTGAATAGTAACTGTTGTTTACGCATATGTGAATTAGAGCATGTGAGAGATTTTTTTCTTGTGAATAACTGTAACTTTTTGACTTTTTAACCTTCAACCGAATTTTAAAAGGAATTTAAAAAATTGTATGTTTTAATTTTATACAATACCAACTTTCCATGTCTGGATTGTGAGAAAGAGTTTTTCCAAATACTTTTTGATAAAAAATATTACTTTTCGATAAAAAAAAAATACATCAATTTCCATCTCTGAACGTTGGGAATATATCTCTGACTTCAATATATAGCAATTTTTTCTTCTTTTTTAACCTTCAGCAGAATTTGAAAAGGAATTTAAAAAATTGTCTATTATAATTTTATACAAAACCAACTTTCCATCCCTGAATTGTGAAAAAATGTCTCATCGACTACTTTTTGACAAAAAATATTAATTTTTGATAAAAAAAAAATACACAAATTTCCATCTCTGCCCCTTTTCAGTGTCTGAATACCAATGTCAAAATATAACATTTTCCATCCTCGAACTATTATAATCGGCGTTTGTTGTCTGGTTTTGCTTTTCATAAATAATCTTTAAAGAAATTTAAAATTTTTCCTATTAAATTTTATAGAGTACCAACTTTTCATCTCTGTATTGTGAAAAAAATGTCACGTCGATTACATT